CGAGCTTTTTTTTTTTTTTTTTTTTTTTTTTTTTTTTTTTTTTTTTTTTGGGAAAAGAGAATGGGAAATTTGTAGTACAAGCCAGGAACCGTGCCCCGCGTCCTTACAACGTTTCTCACAAGGGCTCTTCTTCCACCCAGGGGCATCATMGGCCTGGACTGGGGAAGATTCAGCTCAAAGCGAGGAAAGAGAAGGTTAGCATAACCTTCCGGGGGCCAAGTCCCACATACACCGTTGAGCCAGTTCAACGTTGAACTAGCTCAATGTGTGACCCCACGCGACGTCTGAGATGCATTGCACATCCAGCCGTTGTTCTTAGATGTATAAAATACAAAGACTTTCGYTTTTGTTTTTTGGTTCAAGAAAGGAAGATGAAAAATCCCTCCGCCCGAACACAACGCTCCCTACCCTGCCCATCTTCCGTTGAAATACATACCCCACTTGGAGTGGGGTATGGGTTCAACGGTGCTTGCGCCATCATGACTTTCTGTGGGAGGACACTCTGACAGCCGTGGGAGGACACTCTGACATTCTGCCGAAGGGCACTCTGACAGCTGTGGGAGGACACTCTGACAAAGAGTGTTCAAGCTGTCTGGCTATGCAGCCCCAAAGACATTTCTGTGAATGCACCAAGCCAGGGGTGCTGTATACGTTCATTTCATGTTCTAGTGAGTCCCTGTCSCCCACGTTGTATAGTATGCAGAGCCTTTCACTGAGGATTGTTGTATTTTCCATTTTACTTTTTATGCGTGTCATCCTTGCGCAGGGGCCATGCTAATCTTCTCTGTATCGTTCCAATTTTAACGGATGTCCTGAAGGACGGACAAAGATTTCAATAGCATTAGGTTATTCATTGTTTTTTGGGAAATAGGGGRAAAAAGCTTTCAGCAGCATTTGATTCTCCTTTTTTGCCCTTGTTTTGAGTTTTTAACTCGCAAAAACCGTGTCAACCATGCATGTGGGACTTGACCCCGGGACCTTGTCCACTAGCTCCGTTCAGCTAGGTCCACATTTGGTTTTTGACGCTGTGTGACTGTACGCGACAACAGAGATGCACRCCGTCCAAGTCATCTGGCGGTCCGTTTGTAATAAAAGGCAATAGAGACTATGGGCCTCGCTGCACTACTCTTGAATCTTGAAAAATCAAGAGTTCATCACCGTTGCACTAACTCTTGATGCCACRTCCTGGAGTTCTATTCAAGAGCTGTCAGATTCACTCTTGAAAACGTCGAGAGTGAGTCATGGTTGCACTAACTGTGGAAAACTRMTYTTSGTCCAGCGCTTCWAGAGGTGTCAGAAATGGCCCATCGGATGAACTCTTGAAGTTTCCACAGTTCCCGCCTGCAGGAGGTTTTTTTTCAAACGAGGCCGACGGGTCCCCTCATGCGGTTTGCAAATTCSAGAGTTGGCCTCAGGTCCCTTCATGCGGTTTGCAAATTCGAGAGTTGGCCTCAGGTCTCGGTTGACAAATCGTCGCTGCCCTGTCTTGTAGTGTCTGTCCAACAGTCAAGAATGCTCACGAGAGTCGAGAGTCCGGAGTAAGTGCAGCGACGACAGCAGTTGATGCCAGGCCCGGAGTCTGATAGCGCTAGACGAACTCTTGAGAATTTTCATGTGTCTAGCGTAGTGCAGCAAGGCCCTATCTTTGCTTTTTCTTACAACAAAAAGCAGAAGTAAWTCCTTCCTCTCGAATACTACTCCCCCTRCCCTCTCCACTTTCTGTTGAGCTAGCTGTCTCCTTTTTTCGAGACAGCTAGCTCAACCACCCTCTTGTTCCCCCAAAAGGTGTTTTTTAGGGAAACTGTACCGTTTGCCATTTTTGTACAGAAGGGATTCTGGCAACTCTTCTATTTGTGCAGTGGAAGTGCCCGTAYGAAATTGCATTCGTGCCATTTATAAATGCATTTCTCATTTGAAATTGAATTAGAATGAATATTTTCMGTTGTCGCACCGTTGAGCTGCCTCAACTAAACGG